TATTTATCAATTATATAAACATTACATCATTAATTATTTAATTAACCAAAAAAATTACATCTTTATTAATAACAAATTAATTATTAAACAAAACTATTAAATATAAACTAGGCAAACGTGCATTGCACGTTGCTTGCACCTTGTATATATATATATATATATCAATTATCTGCACATTTCGAATTAATTGTCATTAAATGCTGACTAAGGTACTAATGTTTATTGAAATAATTAAGACCGAACAAATAAGTGTACTTCACTACCAAGTGTCAAACGTTAATTCATCTACATGTCAAGTCACATTAATTTGCTTTACTAATACAAGCATGTTACATTGTGTCACGTGACAACACAGTATTGTGCAATTTAAAAAAAAAAAAACATATTTTTCAGCCCATAACATTTTGAACTTGAATGGTATGTAAACTACATTATCAACCAAACAATGTAAATTTAGCATTATCTTAAAAATATCATTTGGATCCAAAAAAAATGACAATCATTTTGAATTGTCCCTCAATGACGGCTCACCGCTGACCGAGTCATGCTTGCTGGCCAACCTACCGCCGTACACGAAGAAGTTAGTATTAATACAATAAAAATGAGAAAATTGCACTATTGGTCCTCCAATTCATTGTTTTAATAGTAAATTGGTCTTCAATTTTAAAATAGACAAGTTGGTAATTAACTTTTTTTTCCTTTATAGTTTCACTATCTTCAATTTCGAAAACAATTCAAATCTTTGTTAAGTTATCGTATGGCCTCGTGAAAATATGGATCGCTTTAGATATTTTTTTAGGATCCTCTACAACTACGCATGAAGTTTACTAGATGATCCATCCATCCACGTCCATCAAACTCATAATAAGTACAATAATAAGATTCCAAGTAGGCTTCTTCATCAGTTTCATATCACTATGTAAACCAGATCCACAACTTATGTTAACCTTATCATCAACCAAGATGAGGGGATAGCGTAATCAGTTGGTGGCATCTGATTCAAGCTGGGAAGAAACATGGGTGGAGCCAAGGGGGGTCCTGGGGGGGCAGGTGTCCCCCCAACTTTGGAGATTTTTTTTTTTTTTAAATCAC